CACCCACCATACGGCCAAGAGGTCCCCAAGACGGCCCAAAAGAATCTCAAGACGGCCTCAGAGGGCCCAAACACAGCCCAAGAAGGCCCCCAAGACTGCCTCACTGTAGGCCAAGGCAGACACAAGACGGCCCAAACGATTTCCATGAGCCATCCTCAACCAGTGAAGACGAAAGGTGTCACATGTGACGGCCTTGCTCTTCCTCATCTCCCCCCTGCTTCTCCTGCTCTCCATTCTTCGCATCATTATCATCCTCATCCTCATCTTCTTCCTCCTCCTCCTCCTACTCCTCCTCCTTCCCCCCTCCTCCTCCTCCTCCCCCTCCACACCACCACCACCACCACCACCATGATCATCATCATCATCATCACCACCACCATCCTCCTCCTCCTCACCCTCATCCTCATCATCAGCATCATCATCACACTCATCATCATCATGATCATCACCAACATCATGATCAGCACCATCAATATAGAACCATCATCACCATCACCATCACCATCATCAGCATCGCCATCAGCATCCGCAGCATGGTCATGACCATCATCATGATCATCATCATCAACATAATCATGATCATGATCACCATCACCACCACCAGCATCAGCACCAGCACCAGTATCAGCATCATCATCATGAACAGCATTATGATGACGACCATCATCATCCTCATCCCCATCCTCATCACCATAACTACCATCAGAATGTATCGTCAGCGCTAGCATCAACAGTAGCATCATCACCATCCCCATCATCATGACACTGGTCATGAGCAGTATCATGACTATCACCATAAACATCACCATCATCATTCTCATCAGCATCACTATCATCACAACCATCGTCATCACCATCATCATCACCAGAATCGGCATCATCGTCATCATCACCATCATCGCAATCGACACCATCACCATCACCATCACCATCATCATTATCATCACTCTGACCATCATCATCATCATCATCATCCACATCCTCACCATCACCATAAACAGCATCACCAAGATCACCCGCATCACCATCTGCAAACTCAGTACATCATCATCGTCATCCACAACATCATCACACTCATAATACTAATCATCAACAACATCATCATCATCATCACAATCAGCACCAGCACCAACATCATAATCGGCATCATCGTCATCATCATCAACCATCAACACCAGCATTGTAAGCATTGCCATCATCGTCACAATAATCATCATCATCATCATCATCATCATCATCATCGCCATGATCATTATCATCATCATCATCATCACCATAGCGTTCCCGCGAGGGCGCGGCGAAAATTTCATTCACCGAGCCACATGAAGTCAGCAAGGGCAACGCGAGAGCCGAGCCGAGGTAAGATGCTGCCTCGCCCGGGCGCCGAGCAATTGGTTCGGACTCTCGCCGCAGCGTAACGCAAGGGCGATCTCAACTGTCTGCGGAAAGTCCCGCGACCGTGCAAGCCCAGCTTTCTGGATGGCGACGGTTCGAGGGGGGGCAAGAGGCTGTGTTGTGTGATACCTCGGGTCCTTCGGTTTGGGGGAAAGCTGATGATGATGATGATGGTGGTGGTGGTGATGGTGTTGGTGCTGGTGATCATGATGATGTTGATGTCGACGATGATGATGATGATGATGATGATGATGATGATGATGATGATGACGATGATGATGATGATGATGGTGGTGGTGGTGGTGATCATATTGATGATTACGATGATGATGGATGGACACAAGTCGCCCGCTCTCGCGCGGCCCCGCCTCCATCGGCGTGGCGAGTGAAATGTATGCGCCGTGTCGAGGTGGGAACGCCACATTCAGACGAAATCTGGCTTCGTCCACCTCGCAAGTCGACGAACTGACGTGAGAACATTATGCACCTTCTCTTACAGTAGGGGCCCGACAACAAGAAACCTTCCACAAGGAACCCAACCCTCAGACCCCAGGATGTCCATTGGTTTGTGGTGTGGGAACGTCGCGCTTTCCTTAGCGAAATCATCGAAGCCCAAGAAACTCAGGGCAACCTGGAGGCAAGCAGGGTGTTTCTTGACATGGGTCTCCAGTATGGCGACGACCTGGCATGGGTCTCCAACTGGCTCGGGAAACCCAGGGCACCCTGGAGGCAAGCACGTCGACGAACTGGCGGGCGAAGATCATGCGCCTTGCCCACGCGGAAGCTCATATCTCAGGAAACGTGAGCGCAGAGCCGTGTCGAGACTTTGGCCCCTTCGCGCACGATTTGCGCCCCGTCCGCCTCGTGCCGCGCATTCTACAACGCCGGCACCAACGCGTCCACGGTAGAAAGGAACACATCGACATCATACTGTTCCCAGAACGGGCGCCGGCCAAGGGTTCTCTTTTAGTTGGTAACCTTGTCCCAGGTGCCATGTTGGGGCAGGGCCAGCGGAATTACTCCCTGATAAATATCGAGGTCGGGAAGTGCCGCTGGAATCATTTTTGAGGAACACGCTGACATCGGCTGCTTTTTTTTGATCGAAGAGATGGAACCGCCAAGATGAGATTGCTATCTGCGGTGTAAGCGGCCTAGTGGACGATCTTCCAACTAGGAATCAAGTCAGGAGGCGGAGATGAGGAGAGGATGAGGGAGGGCCCGAAGTAGGAGGACGCCCACCATACTCCTAAACCGAACCTGGCGGTTCAAGAGCGCTTCAAGGCGGCCTAACAGCGCTACAGGAGAGCCGAAGACCGGCCCAGAGCGTTCGAAGATGGCCTCACATGGCCTCAAGACGGTCAGAGGGGGCCAATAAGCTTTCTTGGCCCTCTTGGACCGTCTTAGGCCTAAACCAGATCTGGCCAGGCCCATCCTGGGACCAAGATCGGTGTATGCGCCATCCTGCCCTGGTCCAGCATCGGCGCACACGCCCTGCTGGCCTGGTCAGGGCCGCATAGATTTTTCATCCTGGGCCCAGGATCGGCCTGGCCGAGGATCGGTGCAGGTGTGCAGTTGACGCTCCTCCGATCAAGGGCTCGCCAGGCAGCCTGGAGGGAAGCGGCGGAGGATCGGCTCAGTCTGCTCCCGTCGGGGCTGCTGCTGCTCTCCTTCCCCCCTCGCCTGCCTGTGTCGTGCTGCGTTCGGCTACGACTCGTCAAGTCGTCGCGATCCGACCGACCGGCAGGGGAGGGAGGGCGGGAGAGGAGGGAGGAAGCAGGATCGGGGCTCGCGGTTTGTGGACGCTCCTCGGCACGTCGGGTTCTCGTCGCCACGGCTAGACCCGCCTCGGAGATCAAGGCAGCGGCCTTTTTGGAAGCAAGGCTGCCAACATCTCCATCGATGGGCCTGTCGAGGGAAGAACAGACGAGGACGACGAAGGTGCAGCAGACTGAAGAGGCATCCGGAGGAGGCAGAACTCAAACAAGCGGCGCCTGTAGGTTTCATAACACTCCAGCGGGAAGGTGGAGAAAAAGAAGAGCAATGGTACGAAAGAGGGGGAGGAACGAGAGGCGTGGCGCAGGCTTGCCAGAATGCGAATGGTCGAGCCACCAGTGCATGGGCGTCTTTCGCGCGCGTGACCTCAACGCATTCAGCGCACTGCCCACTCACCGCTGTTGCATTGCTGATGCATCGCCCAGGCACCTCAACTTGTGGAGAGTGTAGCGCCGACGCATCGATGCTACGTCGACAATGCATCGGCGATGTGGGCTATTCCTCCGACCCCATCTATAAGGAATACCAAAACCGACCGCCTAGGGACGGGCCGTGCGGTGATCTCAAAATCCCAACAGACCCCACCGCATGGTGCTTCACCGCACCGTTTGCGGACCTTGAGAATGCCCCCAATTGCCCAAGACATCCTCGGAGAACATCCCAATTCCCCAAACCGTGCAGTCGCCCGGAACCCCCACCGACTCACCCGCCGGTGTGGTCACCGCACCGTTTTGGGAATTCCGGTCGGGCTCCCGGGAGGGCCAGACCTCTGCTTCCCTCAGGACCCCTATCCTTCATTGCGATCAGCGGAAACAGGCTCGCGCCCAAAACGCAGCACCTCCTTCCCCATGGTGTCCCCCGATCGCTGCCTACACGGCTCCGGGGAGCATGCGGTCACCGCGCCCTCTTGGGACGTCCGAGTCTACACGGGCCCCGTCTGGGCAGCCTGGGCAGATATGACCTGCGTGTGGCCGCGAGGCACGCCCCCCTCCGGCCCAAGCGCCCGCGCGCTCGCGCCCAGGGCGATGGGTGCGACCGCTCGGGCCCCGCCTACTCCGATGACGTGAATACTGGCAACTTTCCTCTCTCCACATTCCTCAGGAGGGCACCAGCTATGCACATATCAAGTCCTGGCATGGCCCAGGAACACACACACACACACCACACACACCACACACACACCACACACCACACACCACACACCACACACCACACACCACACACCACACACCACACACCACACACCACACACCACACACCACCACACACACACCACCACACACACACACCACCACACACACACACCACACACACATACACACACACACACTTACTTACACAGGTCCAGGTCGCAGGATCGCCTGATCGGGCCTTTCGCAACATGGTGGTTTCCAAACCTGCAGGGAGCGTTCCGCAGCGCCGCCAGTGCCTGGGCCTTCCTGGCCATGCCTTTCGTAACATGGTAGTTTCCCAATCTAGGGAGCGTTCCGCAGCGCCGCCTGTGCCTGGACCCTGTTACCTGGACAATCCCCAACATGGCAATTTCATGTAGGTGTATAGTTGGCGCCACTCTGGATTCCTCCACTTTCGGCGGTGGACAAACTTCCCTTTAGCAAACCTCCCCTTACTGAAAACGGCCTGCGACCGAAACCGACGGACCTGGACCCGCAAAAATGACGGCCGCGACGCCCTCTCGCGAGTCGGAAACGGCCAATTCGCTAATCGACGTGTCAGGGTAGGAGGTCTGTCCACCCCCGAATAGTTGGCGCCACTCTGGATTCCCCCAATTGCGAGAGAATGGCTGGCGAGAGGGAGCTTCGCGTAGTCGCGGCCGGCGAGAACACCACGGCGCAAATGGGCACGCTGTTCGCCTTGCGTGGCGAGCCGCTCCCCCCCGCCCCAACTGCGCCTACACTCGTCGACGTGGGCGCAAAAACATCCGCGTCAAAATACAGGGCTGAAGTACCACCCACCCAATGATCACCCATAAAGACTTAAGACCAGGCCCTTTAGCAAACGCACCTGAACAAAAAATCGAACTGGACTGGGCTGTTCAGGAAACGTGGAGGCCAGATTAACTAAAGCTACGTATGGGGGTCGGAATTATTTTCCTCTCTTGACAAAATACACCGACACAATGCGGCGACCTCATGTGGCAATACATCGGCCGACCTCCGCTTGCGAGGGCCAAAGGCGTGTGAGACATGTGGCTGTCCCCCTCCCCTCTTTTCTCCGCAAGTGTGCAAGACGTTTGCATTTCCTGCTAATCTGTTTTCATGGAATCCGTGAACCAATCGTGCTCCTGCCGATTCCTTGCCGATGCGCCGCTGCCTGGCGCCTGGCTTGACTGACTGACTGACCTTCTCCTTTCTCCCCCTCCCGAAATTCAAAAAATGCCGTCTGAGAGGGGGGAGGGGCGGAGGGAATTCATAGGCACTCCTCCCTTGCCCTCGGAGCCTCCAAACCCAACACCCGCGGCCACCGAGATGCCCACGATGCCTTCCAAGGTGGCTCAGGAAGGGATGCGACACGCTGGAGAGGCCTCGAGAACACCTAAGATGGCCTCAAGATGGCCCAAGGGGTCCCCAGGATGCTCCGATGGGGCTCAACGAGCGCCTCCAAGCGGGCATCAAGAGGAACACGTTTCGTTGATAGTCCTGCGAAGTGGCCGCGTTCGCGTTCTGGCCTTGTCGGGCTTGTGCAAGCCCAAGGCGGGCCGCGCGCCTCCTGGACCGCCCCATCCGGACCGCACCGTGACGATCCAAGAGGGCCCAGAGACGGCCCAGAGACGGCCCCGCGGACCTGAAGAGGGCCCGCGAGGCTCCCAAGACGGCCAACAAACGCCTTCGAGGGGGCTCCGACAAGGGGAAGGCGCAGGGGCCCTCCCCCGCAAGATGGCCCCTAGACTTGTGGATGCCACGACAATGGACACCCTAACAGTCCTATCATTGAATGTTAAATGTGTTTAAAATGTGGGGAACATGTTCTAAACATGTCTTGAACATGTGTTGCCACATGTCGAACACATGTTTAATACATGCTTTAGACATCCAGAAATCATTTGGCAACATGCTTCCCCTCCAGTGATCGTCCTCCGCAACTCACACGGAGGCAGCCGCCGATGCCCGTGTGGGTGCCAACCTCTCGGCCTCCGCGGGCGGGGGAACTGGCCCAGGGGGGAACGGTGACGTGGAATCGGCGATGCAACGCCCGCCGATCGGTCGGCCAGGGGCCCACGATGCAGAGACCCCCAAGATGCCCCCAAGAGGCTCTCAAGCCAGGCCGCGCCGCGTCCGCGATTTTTCTGTCCGTTCCGCTAGGGACATCCTCGAAATTCTGAAAACCGGTGGCACCCCTCACACAGATCGTGACGTCAGGGTCCAAAAACACATGGGACTTTCGAGATTCTAACAACAAACCTTCAAAAGCACAATGTAATCCCACCAGCCTTCTGGGCGTCGGTGGTTTAGCGCGTTTCCTCTTCCACCCCTCCCTCTTCCCCTTCGGGGAGGGGGTTACCCCTCCCCCTACCCCCTCCCCTGGACCTGGACGGGGGGCGCCGCGGGTAGTTAGAGCGTCCAAAACGGCCTCGGCGAGGAAGCCAAAATCATTGATGTTACTATGGTTTTGGCCCCATGTTGGCCTCCTGGGGGGGGACCTTAATTGAGGGACCCCCCTTCGTTGCACTCAGCTTGTCTCTCTCTCTCTCTCTCTCTCTCTCTCTCTCTCCCCCTTCGTTGACCGATCTCCTCCAAGATGGCCCCAAGAAGCGCCCAGGAGGCCCCAAGAGGTCCCAAGGTGGCTCCAAGATGGCCCCACGAGGCCCCCAAGAGGCCCCCAGGAGGCCCCCAAGAAGACCCTAAGCGGCCCCAAGAGCCCCCCCCCCGAGGCACCCAAGACCCCGAAGAGCCCCCCAGGATCGCCAAGAGACCCCCAAGACGTCCCAAGAGGCCACCAAGAATCGCCCAAGAGATACTCCAAGAGGCTCCGAGAGGCATCCAAAAGACCTCTGGCCCTTGTGCTTGCCCTCCTTCTCCTCCTGTTCCTCCTTCCTACTCCTACTCCTTCTCTTCCTCCTCCTCCTCCTCCTCCTCCGCCTCCTCCTCATCCTATTTATCCTCCTTCTTCCCACTCCATCATCCATCCATCCATCCACATCCTCCTTCTCCTCCTCACTCCTTTGCACGGTTCGGCCGTCCTCCTCTTTGCTGCCGCACTTCCCTGATCACCTCCACTCGCCTTGACATCTTTTCTGGATGGGCTGGTGGAATTTCAATAATTTTGACTCCGATTCTCAAAGAATTGCGGTTTCGCCTGAGACATCCTCCGAAAATAGAAGCCCGGACTACTTCTGGTACCCCAGACCCCGCCTCGGAGCCTCCCGGGGGCCTCCTGGGGCCTGCGGTCTCTTGGTCGAGCCTCCTGGAGCCTCTTGCGGCCTCCATGGACATCCTCGCAACTTCGAGCCCAGACGTACTCTCCTTCGGCCTCCTGGAGCCTCTTGCGGCCTCCTGGTCGGGCCTCCTGAGGCCTCAATGGACATCCTCGCAACCTCAATCCCAAAAGACCCCTCCTGGGGCCTCCTGGAATCTTTTCCGGCATCCTGGTCGGGCCTCCTGAGGCTTCCTGGGGGCCCGTGGTACACACACATCGCAAGGTGTGGCAACCCCGCTTGCTCCTAACGACCTTTCTTTTTTTGTATGAGCCTAGGCGCACACGTGCCACTTGTATCTCTCTCCCTCTCTCCCTCTATATATGTATTGGTTTGTTGTCCCCCCCCATATATATATGTATATATATATATATATATGCACATACTTGCACAAATATGCACACTGGAACCCGTGAATCTCCCCTTCAAGGGGTCGGCGGAGAGGTGCAAGCCTCTTGGCTCCACGTCTGGAGGTGACCTGCTGAGCGGCAGCGTTTTCTGGCGAACGCCTTAACGCAACGTGTCCAATCGATCTACTCGTATTACAGAATTGCTACATATTGCATGCCCTTTCATTATTATGTCTTCCCCCTACCCGTCCTGAAGTCGCGCCACATCCGCGGACCAAGATGGCTAATCCCGTTGTGGGGCCCAAGGGATTCCCAAACGTATGGGACATCTATGATCTGGGCCTCTGGGGCTTCCTGGAGGTCCAAGAGGGCCTCGAGACGGCTCAATGCAGCTTCCCGAAGGCCCAAGACGGCCACAAGACGGCCCAAGGTGGCCCCAAGAGGGCCAAAGAGGCTCCCAAGACGGCCCCCGAGGGCCACAAGGAGGCTTCCAAGAGCACCTTCAGAGGCCAAAAACATGTATCCCCGATTGGTTTTGTAATATGTTCGCTTTCTCGCATGTTGCGAATCGTGGGGGTCCATGACAGCCCAAGCAGACAGCCCAAGCAGCCTCGAAGATGACCCCGAGACGGCCCCAGAGGCCCCCAAGAGGGCCCCAAGATCGCTCTAGACTCCAAGATGGCCCACAGAGGCCCTCAAGACGGCTCAAGAGGCCCCCAAAACGGCCCAAGAGGACTCTGAAAGAGCCACAAGGCGGCCCCGAGTCGCCCCCAAGACGGCCTCCGAAGGGGCCAGACGGCACAACAGCGCTCCACGACTGCCCACGCGGCACCAGAAAAAACCCAATCGAGCCAGAACACCATCGGGGATGGACAGAACCCCCTGTAGTAAAACGTGATTTCGTGAAAACGACCTAGGGCCCAAACCTGGCTGGCGCAGGCCTGGAAAATGACGGCCGCAACACCCTCTCGAGAACCGAAAACGGACAATTCACTAATCGACGTGTCAGGGTGGGGGGTCTGTCCACCCCCGACACTATAGAGAGGCTTATTTCTGGACCAAATCGAGCCACAATGCCATGGTGAGTCGATCCCGGACCGTTCCGGACCGCCGCTCGGCCTGGGAGACGCCTCGCCCCATCTCCCCCTGTGGAGAGTCTGGTGAGAGGAATCTTTGATCTCTATGCGAAGCCTCCAGCGAGAATCTGCTGGGGAAAACACAACAAAACCTATGTATTTTGATGACTTTAGCCTTCCCGGGGGTCGCCCGGACGCCTCAACGAGCTCACTTTCGGGCTCCCCTGGTACTTTCTTCAGCATGCAGCTTTCGCCACCGTCCCTGGACGAGCTCCCGGACCAATTCACGAGGATCCTGGGCCCACCTTCGCCTCGAACACGAAGCACAAACAGGCCCAGATACCATCCCTTCTGCAACCAGTGGAAAGTACGATGGGGCTGCGGCCCAACGCGGGTGTGCTCGCGCTCAGGCCGTCCAGACGTCTGTCGGGCCGCCTCGGGCCCATCTCCGCCCCCTTCTCTGGACCCTTTTCGGCGTCCTCTTGGGTCCCTGCTGGCCTCCTCTGCGCTGTCTTCAGGCCATCTTGGGCCCATTTTGGTGGGTCCTCGTGCCGTCGGGGGTGCTTTCGCCCAGCCGCACCGTCCACATGTGGGCGTCACACTCATTCCGGTACACCTCTCGCACGTTTCGTGGCCCCCAAAGAGCTTCGCCACAAGCCCGAGAAACACCGTCCACATGTGGGCGTCACGCTTGTTGCGGCACGCCCGTCACCCCTCACACGTTTCGCGGCCCCATGAGGAGCTTCGCCGAAAGCCCCAGAGGCAGCGTCCGCATGTGAGCGACACGCCCGTGTCGGCACACCCCTCACAAACTTCGTGACCCCATGAACCGCAGGCCTCCGAGTCACCGTCCTCATGTGGCATCACGCCAGTTTCGGCACACCCCTCACACGTCTCGTATTTAGCCCCACATGGGAAACTCCACCCAAGGCCCCAGAGGTGACGCCAATTCTGGCAAACGCGGCACACCCCTCATACATCTCGTGGCCCCGTAGGGGGCTCCACCGAAGGCCTGTCCCGCCCGTTTCGGCACCCTTCATACGTCTTGGGAGCCCCACCGAAGGCTGCAGTGACAGGAATCACGTGCGTCCCCAGGCCCATTTTGGCAAACACTGCGCGCGTTTCGCGGCCCCAAACGATCTCTCCCTGATTCGCCCGTTGCCGTGCGGTGCCAACACCTGCATATGGTTGGGTCCCTCATCAGGCTAATTCGCTCTAAAAGCGGCTGGGTACATCAGGAACGCCAGAGGAGCAACCATGGAGGGACCTCAGGAACAGCAAGCCCCTCCCACACTTACACCGTTCCTTATGTCAACGTCTTTGCTGTACGTGTGCGCGCGCGCGTTCACGAGTAACTGCCTGCGCATGCGCGCCTGGACGCACAAAGACAGGCAGGCAACCATACCGCTTCCTCTGACCCCCCTGAAGACCCTGGAGGTCTCTGGGGGTCCCAGTGTCCAGTTGCGCCAGCATTGGCAATTCATGCATGAACGGAGAAGGAGGGTGGGAAACGGTGGGGCCCGCTGACTCGCCCCAGCTGGCTAACTGGACTCCACCTCCTGCTCCTCCCTACTCCTTCTCCTCCGGAAGCCTACCCCCGCCGCCCACAAATCTCGATCCTCGATCCTCGTCCTCCTCCTCCTCCTCCTCCGTCTCCGCTTCCTCCAGAGACCCGAGCAGAATCCAAAGCGTCTACAACCTTGATCATCGATCTTCATTCTCCTCCTCCTCCTCCTCCTCCTCCTCGATCCCTACCCTTCCCGACCCCTGCTTCCCTCTTCTTCATCCTGTCGCCCTCCAAGTCAAAACGCGGGGCCTTCAACATCGACAAAGCCTGCTCTCGCTCGGCGACGCCGGGCAACACCCCCAAAACCTGTTGCGGCAGACGCCCGCCGACAGAGAGGAGCTGGCTGACATGCGGGCGACGACGACGACGAACGACGGACGACGACGACCTCCGTTGTGGAGGTTTTCGGTGGGCTCGTGAGCTTCTCGTCACCACGCCCAGACGCAACTCTGGGGACTCGCCAAGCTGGACCGTAAGTCCTGGGGTCTGGGGATCGGTTTCGAGCTCTTGCCACGTGTGGGTCCTCTGATGCGCCGAGGGCTTCTCCTCCTCCTCCTCCTCAGCGTTCTCCCTCCTCCTCCTCTTCCTTCTTCTCCTTCTCCATTCTCACCCCCCCACCTCCTCCTCCTCCTCCTCCTCCTCCTCCTCTTCCTCCTCCTCCTCCTCCTCCTCCTCCTCCTCCTCCTCCTTTGGCTCAAGGAGGCCAAGGGCTTAAGCGGGCATGTTTGACACGCCAGCCGTTCGTGTATTGCATTCGCTTGCATCCTGTTGCGATAGCCACGCGCACGCGCGCGCCAGGAACACCGGTTCGAGGAGTACTTGAGCGCGACGTTCGTCAGCGCCTTTTCAGCCCGCTCCACGAGATGGATGGGCTGGATGACCCACCTCCACCTGAGGTTCATCAGATCTCCAAGCCAGGTACCCCCGTAGAGGCTTACGCAGTACCAGCGCCTCAGCAGCAGCAACATCCCCCAACTCTTCAGGAACTTGCGGCCGCCATCCGCCAGGTCCAGCCGATCAAGATCACCATCAAGAACTTCGACAAACGCCTGAAGGAGATGAGCGAGAGTTTCGACGGCAGGTCTGGGAAGGTGGAGAATTACATGGAGGACATCGACATCCGCCTGACGAGCTTGGAGAACATGTGCGAGCACACAGGCGGTTCACCGACATCTGGCCGCAGTGCCAGCACCGAGGTCTGGGACCACATCAAGGCCCTGCAGGTGGAGATCGAGCAGCTTAAGGGCACACCCCAGCCTCAAAGGAAATGGAGAAGGAGGAGAAGCAGGATACGATGGTGGTTGGAGGCCTTCAGTCTTTCCAAGGGCCTTTGGGAAGCCCAGCAATGGTTAGAATATAAATTGTGAAACGCCTACACCTCCAAACCACAGAAGGTGTACACCAAAAGAGACTTCAGGGGCATCATCTTCGCGAAGTTCTCGGGCAAGTCAGAGAGGGACGCAGCAATTCAAATTTTCCAGAAGGAGACATTCAAGGAAGGGGGGAATCCCATCTGAGCCAAGCCGGACCAGGTGTTGGCCAAGAGGGTCGTCAACTCGTTCGTCTTCGGGACAAAACGTCTTCTCAAGGAGTGGGGTTTCACGAACCAAAGCGTGTGGGCTGACCCGGAACCCGGGCAGGTCTGAGTGGGCGACGAGGTTGCGGTCAGACGTTTGGTCGAAGAGGGCGCGCTGAAAGTGAAGTACGGCCCGGAATTCCCCAACTTGGTCTCGAAGCTGCGCGAGAAGTTGGGGAGCACCCCAATGAAGGGCAGCGGGAAGGGCGGGAGCAAGGGGAAGACGAAAGGAGGCAATGGAGGAACGGTGCCAATGTAGAGGTGGCAGCGGAGCACGAGCAGAACCGTTTTACCGTGGAGCTATGCGGGTTCGTTTCTATCTCTTGGAAGCCCCCGTGTAGCTCTTGATTATTCTGCAGACGAAGCCCAGCAGCCTTGTCAAACAATGCTGTCGCTCTCTGCGGCGCGGGGCGGCCATTTGCGCCCTGCTCAACATGAACTCACCATAGCATCATGGAACATTGAAGGCTACACGGAGTCAAACCAATTTGCACTCGAATTGATTTTGAGAGAGAGCAACATCATGATCGTATGCGTACAAGAGACGTGCGTCCCAAAGTCTGAAGCATTTGCCACCGAATCCGGTTATCTCGTCATCCACTCAGGCGAAACTAACGAATCGTCAGAGAAAATTGGCGTGGGCTTCATCGTGGCGCCGGCTGCTCGCAGATCCGTGGTTGGATTCTGCCAGGCGTCGTCGAGGATGGCGTCATTGAAGATACGAGTTTCTGGTGGCAAGGCTGTCATATTCTCGGCATACGCCCCGCACAGCGGAACATACTTTCTTCAACTACGGCAAACATTCTTCCAAGACGTTGCAGAATTTGTCGAATCTCGCTCTTCGCACGGACCGGAAATCGTCATGGGCGACCTCAATGCAAGACTTCATGGGCAGACGGGGGATGATGGCACGATCATCGGCCCGCATGTGTTCAGACACCCTGGTCAGCAATGCGACGAGAATGCAAATCGGTTCCTGCTTGTGGAGGCGTGCGCCCGTCTTCACATGTGCATTGGGAACACTTTCTTTTACCGTTGCCGAGAGAACCTGGTCACGAACTACAGCGTAGGATGTGCGCTCGGATGCCCAATCACGCCACAGACCCACTCGCAGATCCATCTCCTGTTGTACCAACAACACTGGCTTCACAGTGTGCGAGACGTGCGCGCCGAACCAGCTGCCCCTCTCTCCTCGCACCATTCCCTGCTGATTGCCAGCGTTGTTCTACAAGGGCCCGAGTTCTCGTCGACCGGCCAGGACAGTCGCCTGGACGTGCAGAAGCTGAATGAGGCACCTGGGCGGCATGCTTTCGCACAGTCTCTGTCGCGCACGCTGGAGGAATTCGACGAGTCTGCAAGCAACGTAGAGGGCGTCAACCTGTCACGGTGCTGCCTAGTCGATGCTTTTGGGCACGCTGCCGCTTCGAGCCTGCCGGAGCGCGCGCAATGCCCAAGCTGAAGCCTTGGACTGGCGAGGGCACATCGGAGTTGATTGCGCGACAGGCAGAAGCACGGCGGCGCGGAGACAGACAGGTGGAATCAAATCTGGCAAAAGCAGTGCGATCGTCAGTATCTCGGGACAAAGCGGCCTGGCTCGAAAGTCTGCTGGCCGACGGCAACTGGACCGAAGTGCGGAAGCTCGGAAAAGGGCGTTGCCCGAAGCAGAGGCGGCTTCGGGATGCCAGCCGCACGCTTGAGAGCGACCGTCGCGCGAGAAAATGCAATGGGCGGTTCGTCCAACTACCCTGCTCGACGACGACGCGCCAATCAACCCGGAGCTTCACATGCACTTGGGGCCCATCACAATAGCCAAAATCAAGACGGCGGCCAAGAAGTTGCAGAATGGCAAGGCCCCGGGCATGGACGACTTGTGCCCGGAGTTCTGGAAGGCTGCCACAACGGAAGGGGAGGGGGCCATTGAATGGATTGCCAAATCTTGCAATTTAGTGTGTGAAGGCGGTAAAGTTCCAGACGCTTGGCACTTATCCCGTGTGAGCATGATATACAAAAAGGGTGACCCAGCATCATGTGAAAATTATCGCCCGATTAGTCTTCTGCCGATTGGGTATAAGCTGTTCGCCATGATTATGCTGCGTCGGCTCCGGGAGGCTGGCGCGCAAGAGAAGATCTGGAAGACTCAATTCGGTTTCCGATCAGGGCGAGGGACAGCGGATACGACTTTCCTCGCCCACCGCGTGATCGAGGAAACATGGGCGACCAAGGGCGGACGCGCCGTGTTGTTGGCCCTGGATTGGGCGAAGGCTTTTGATTCTATATCGCCAGAAGCTCTGTCTGTGTCCCTGAAGCGGGTTGGGTGCCCAAGTAAGTTTGTAGATATAGTCTCCTCGATCTATTCGTGGTGACGGCCTTCGCAGTCGAATCCGGGGAGCACACCCAAACTTATGGTATCTGCCAGGGCTGCCCGCTATCGCCATTCCTTTTCACGATAATCATGACTACGCTGCTAAGCGACGCTCACAAGTGCCTGCAGAACCAAATCGGGGAGGCCGCCCGGGAACACGTAATCAGCGAGCTTGTCTACGCGGACGATACCCTTCTCATCGGCAGCAACCCCGGGACCGTCGAGACTCTTATGCAATGCGTCGAGAAGTGTGGGGAAATGTATGGCCTCAAACTGAATTGGCAGCAATTGGAAATGCTCTGGGTGAGCTCTAATGCCGTGGTCAACAACTCCTCGGGGATGGCAATAACGTGCAAATAATATTTGATACATCTTGGGCATGCTTGACAGCTGTCGGCCGGATCGCAGCGGAGCTCAGCCGTCGGATAGGGGCCGCTTCCAGTGAGTTCAAGGCGCTCCATGCGGTATGGTCACATTCATCACTGAGTCGCAGGAGGAAGATAGCAATTTTCAATGCTTGCATTGTTTCTAAGCTGCAATATTGTTTGTTCGCCGCGAGTCTGAACAAATTGGGAAGGAGGAGGCTGGACGCCTTCCAAGCCCATTACCTCAGGAAGATCTTGCGAAATCCGCCGTCATTTCTGAGCAGAGTGTCCAACGCAACTGTTTTGACAATGGCTGGACAGGGGCCGCTGAGCGAAGACATCTGCAGGCGACAAATGGATTTCAGGGGGCATCTCGCCAGGCGGGCAGACTCTGACCCAGTGCGCTGCTCGATATTCTGCCCCGGTGGCATCGAATTGAAGCGACTGGACGGGCCGCGGCAGCGTGACAGGCCGAGACAAACCTGGAGCCACATGGTCATGAAGAGTTGTGTGTCTGCTGCGGGCTCACGCGAGCGCGTTGCTGCTTTCTTCCGCCCGGATAGCGGAGCAGCGCGCGCGTGGAAACAGCACGTTAGCGCATGGCATCTGAGTGCGTAGCTGTGGCTCTGATCTCGCCTCTCTCCTCCTCCTCCTCCTCCTCCTCCTCCTCCTCCTCCTCCTCCTCCTCCTCCTCCTCCTCCTTCCTCCGTGTGTTTAACACGAACGGCCGATGCCAATACAGCACGCCCATCTCATGAGCAATTTGGCTGCTCACGGTCTCACCCTGCTCGCGCGCCGTCCGGACGCAAGGCTTCTGAACTGAACTGAACCTTCTCGGAGGAGACGAGTTGGAGGTGGGAGAGTATCGGCGGCGAGCGAGGGGGGAAAATAAGAAAGAGAAGGGCTTCTCAGAAGGCGGTCGGACTTCTCAGAAGCCCTCGTGCCTTCTGAGAAGTGTTATGTGTCTTCGGGGAAGGCTTAAGAGTCTTCTCATAAGGCTGGGTGACTTCTGAGCCTTCTGAGAAGGCCCGCCCCTTCTCACTTCCCCCCCAGGCTCGCCGCCGAGAGTAAGCACCAAAGTTTAGCCTTTGAGGCACAGGTGTGCTGGCGGCATTCGGCATCCTTGACTCGCGCACACTGACGCAGGACGAACAGCGTGCAGAGCAAGCTGTAGGATATCTGCTCCTTGAGTGTCATTGTAATCATGTTGCTGTGCGCCACTGAGGTAGATCAATCTCAGCATCTTCCTCCCTCCATCTCCTCCTCAACATCCTCCTCCTCCTCCTCCTCCTCCTCTCCCTACCTACTCCCTGCTCAGTCTCGTCCTCCTCCTCCTCGTCCTCCTCCTCTTCCTCCTCTGTCTTCTCTCCCTCGTCCTCCTCCATCCCTCCCTCCTCAGCCTCCGCCAAGCAGCTGGACAGGTTTCGCAGGAAGGTGTGTGCGACTCCGACGTGCCCGCCAGGACGTTGACGATCTTCGCGGGCGCCTTCATCATTGGCTCCATATGCTACGTACTCGGCAGGCGGCTGGGACCCCCTCACGGATGCCGAGCAGCGCTACTCACAAGGCATGGCGATGTCGGTGTATCGAGCAGCGACGCGCAGTTCGTCCGTGAAGCGTAAGGCAGACGACGAAGAGGGGGAGCTCGACAAATTCCCAGACGCCGCCGACGACCTGGTCCTACCGAAAACGGGACGTGCGCGCCCCCTATGACCTGCTCCGCGTAGCCCGGCTGCGCCTCTTCGGTGATTTACTGCGGTCGGGGGCGCCCGTGGTGTTTGCCCTGCTCATGATGATGCCCATGCACCCGCAGCGCCGCAGCTGGCCCATGCTGCTCCTGGACGACCTCCGCTGGCAGCGCCAATACACATCGATGCTCACGGGGCTCGAGGGCCCCGCCGGGGACCTTCGACCATGGGAGCGAGCGATCAGCGCCTCGCACGGCAGCTGTGAAGTACCGTCGCACCGACGTGCTGCAAGCGGCGGCCGAGAACCTCGGCAGGCGCACCCAGGCGGAGGAGGCAGCCGGGTCGTCCTTCGCCGAGGCCAGGCTCGCAAGCGCACCCCGGTCCAGGCGTCCAGGCAACCCATACGGCCCGCCACCGCCCACTCATGCGCAGGGAGCCCCGGCCGCTGGTCGCTGGCCCTGCCCATGGTGCTCCGAGAGCTTCCGGCGCCAGAGGGGGGCTCAGGGTACACATCTCCCGCCAGCACAGGACCATGACGGACCAGCGTCGCGAAGCAGTGGATGCGATGCGCCCGCCAGTGTCAGGTTTGCATGATGTAGTTCCAGCGGCCGCACTACCTACTGGAGCATCTGACGGTGGCCTCCCCGACCTGCATGCTGCTCACCATGGAGGGTAGCGTGCCCTGCGCGGACGCCGAGCAGCAAGACGAAGAACCACTCCCTCTAGGCGGCTTCAAGAAACGGGTCGACATCCCTGCCGTGAAGGCAGCAGGGCCGCCCACCCAGCTGGTGGCGGACAGGCGCAGGCGCACCGAGGACCAGGAGGCGCGAGCTGTCATCCTGGACTGCGACTACGCGGTCGACGACAGGGCCAAGGAGCTGCTCCAGGCACCGACGGCGCCAGCGCCTCCACCACCTGAGCCAGAGCCTGTGCCCCAAGAGCGCTACGCCTTGGACCAGTTCCAGAAGACGGACTATGTGGGCGTTTGAACGACCTCGGTGCCATGGCGCATCCAGCGCGCAAATTTTTCCATCGTGAATCTCTGCTGCGGCGCGCGGAGGACAAATCACATTGCCTGCCGAGCTCCACCGTGTACCAGCAGCTCAGCGACAAGGTCGTCATCACGTTCCTCAGCATCGATGTTGCGATCGACGTGGGGTGCTGCGACCAGATGAAGTCCAAGGGCCTGGCTCTGCATATCGGCCGTCCTCTCGCAGCAGGTGATCATCAGCGAAGGCGGCCCTCCACGGGAGACGTGGGATTCTGCGAGATGGTCACACGAGCCAGGGCCGCCGCCGCTGAGACCGCACGATGCCTACTGGGGGATTCTGGAGTCGACCGTGCGGCAGCGGCTCCAGCTCATGGTGGGCAACGCGCTGCTGCAAGCTGTGGTGCTGGCGATCGTCGCGCACTTGCGAGTGGGCTCGGCGGCCTGGTCGGAGCATCCCATCCCGGCCCACTGGCGCCAGCAGGCGATGACATCATGGACGTGAGAGCCGCTGCTCGCGCTGCAGAACTGCCCGGTGGTCTCGACCACCGGGTCGAACAGTGCGAGCACGGCGGCCAGGTCGGGCGGGCGCCGACGCGCATCGTAGGCCTGAGAATGCAGGCCCTCCACGCGCGTGGCAGCCTCTCGCACGGACGTGGGGCGCATGTCACTCCATTGGGAAAAACTGGGCCCAAGGGTGAGTTCCGCACCTCGGCCATGAAGGTATGCCCCCCTGGCCCCTGCAATGCCCTCGCGGAAACCGCGGTTGAAACGGTGTCCGTGCTTCTCTCCCAGAAGCCCGATGCCGACGAGAATGGCGCGGGCCCTGGCCCCGAGGTGGAAGGTCTACGGGAGCTCTGCTCGTGGGGTCGGTGCCCGAGGAAGGGTCGGGACAGGCCTGGGCCCCCGACTTCTGCCGCCGTGCCTGGGGCTCTCGACCTGACCCCGAGCGTCCTCGGCTCCGTCGGCCCGATGTCCAAGAGCCCAGTGCAGACCCCTCCGGCGAGTCCGACAGTCGGGCCAGGCTTCGGGCGATGTGGCATTGGGGGGTGACCCAAAGGGGGGTGAAGAGAAAGACCCAAAAGGGGCCCTACAGGGCCTCTTTTGGGCACCAAGCGGCTACAAGGAGGGGCCCTAAAGGGCCCCTTTGGGGTCCTTCTCTTCCCCCCTCCTTTGGGCCCACCCCCTTCCTGCCACCCGCCCGAAAGCTCCGACCCCCGAGTCCCGGCCCCGACAGTCGGGGCCAGGCCCCGACCCCACCCAGGAGGAGCTGCGTGCTCTGAGCGCCGACCTCGAGCCCCTGCTTCTCCTCCCCGCTCCGTCCTCCTCCGCTGGCCCCTCCTTCTGTAGGAGGGCACCTGCGAACCCTGCCCCACCACCTCACGATTGCTGAGGGGGGAGGTGGGGTTCACTTCGCCTCCCAGGGGTTGCTCGGGAGATGAGTGTGCTGTGGGCCCCCCCGAAAAGGCGAGGGAGGCCTGCGACCACGGCGCAGGGGCGCGCCGAGGACTATGCAGCGGCGTGCGTGACGCCGAAGCCCGAGCCACCACCTCCGCCTCCTCCCTCTCCCCCTCCTCCCCCCGCCACTCTCGGCCACCTCGGGGCGAACCTTCTCCGAAGGCTCCGAAAACCCCCGGCCTTCTGAGAAAGGTCTTAAGCATTCCCCGAAGACACATAACTCTTCCCGGAAGGCGCGAGGGCTTCTGAGAAGTCCGACCGCCTTCTGAGAAGCCCTTCTCCTTCTTATTTCCCCCCTCGCTCGCCGCCGATACTCTCCAGCTCGTCTCCTCAGAGAAGGGCGAGAAGGAAAAGGAGGAGGAGGGCAGGAGGATGAGGAGCAGGAGATGGAGGGAGGAGGATGGGGAGGAGGGGGGTGATAATGGAAAAGGAGGAGAAGAAGGAGGAGGAGGGAGAAGGCGCCTGACAACTCCCTCCTCCACTCCCCTGTCCCTCCTCCTGCCTCCCGCCACTCCCAAGCTCGGCCCGCAGGCGAGGAGCCCGCAGGGCGCGGTCGGGCCCCGCGATGCGGTGGCAGACGTCCAGCTTCCTGGGGGCCGGCGCCAGGGGGGGAGGCGGCGGCGCAGGAGCGCTGCCAGGCGCCCAGGACGGGATCGAAAAGCACCGAGGAAGACGACGAGAATTCGGAGGTCACTTTTTCCACCGATTGGTGGCTCGAGGTTGGAGACATCGAGCTGGAATCGGCGATGCATCGCCGACAGGACCCCCGAGAGCGAAACCGCATGATCCCAGGCGGGGTGAGCAATCGGCGATTTAGGGGTCGACGCGTTCCCTCCTGAATCTATCCCCCCACGCTCGCCGGTCGGAAGAAGTGGGCAGAAACATGCAGTACGAAGGCGGTGAAGATATTTTGGGCTTCCACCCGCCCCCTGAAGTGGAGGGAAGAGGGGAAAACGCTCGACCCTTGAAGTAGGAAGGCGGTAAAAATAGATTGGGACCTGGGTCGCAACAAAAGACTTACTTCCCACGACTGGCGTGTAATTTTGCCCCTGAGTTCAGCCCGCCTCGCCGCCAAGGCTGCCTCTGCTTCTGGATCCTGGTCGGAGCGTGCCGCCGTGGGCAAGTCGGGGGTGCCGGTTTGAAACAGGGGAAAAAAAAGAAAACGGAGGAGGACGACTGGATCAAACCGCGCGTTCCCGGGAGGGGTGGCTATCGGGCCCCTATCGGCGATCAACGGGCGATTGTGGGTCGACGGAGGCTGGGGCGGCCAGTTCGCAGAGGGAGGAAGAACAAAAAGAAGACGACTGGATCCATTACCGTCGGGTTGGGAAATGTGACTGGGTCGCAATTCGCATCGGATCGAGCCGCATCAGCACGGGGTCGGGATCGAATCGGATCGGCCCCGATCGATGGGATGAACAAAATAATCGTGTAACTTGCGGGTCGCATCGGGTCTTCGGATCATCGGAATCGACTGCGACCCGCGTTGCGCACCCTGTAAGTGCCGCGGGTTGGGTCCGAGCACCCACTACAGCCCAAAACGCCTGGCGAAAATCGTGTTCCAGGGCGTTCCATGCATCTGGCATGGCCCACCGCAACAGCAAGTGAACCGAATATCGCGCTTCGCGATCGTTTTAAACAACTTTCTGCTCTCCCAGGGTCAACGTATCTTTGTGTGTTTGAAATGAAGTGGAACATGTCGTCAATCCAGGGACGTTTGGGTCGGTGAGGGCCTCGTTTCGCAAATACTTCTGCGTGTTGAGACGGGTCCCAAGATACAGCCTGGCGCATCCACTCCCCGGAACCATCGCACATTGTTTTGACGTGTTTGTGCGATCCAGTCATCACTGTGCAATGAATTACATCCACGTCCTTCGCGCTGCGTTTGGTCCAGTCGACCCAAGCTTTAAAATTATCCTGGGGTTGCTCTGCTCTGGTCATTTGTTCCTGCTTTCCTCCATTGCTGTCCACATCGTCGTCGCTGTTGGTCGTTGTTCTTGTGAATTCTTCGTGTTCCAAGCCAGCAACTTGACGCACTTCTTTACGACGTGGCGTTTAGATGATCATTATCAACACGTGCCTTTGTGTGCGAAGACCTCTGCTTTCTAGCTCCGCTGTCATAGTCCACGCTTCGCAGCCGCATAGTAATGTCGGTTTAAGAACACCACACGATAAACGCATGCGGTCATTCAGAGAAGATCTGCGTCCGATGCATTCCAGTTTCAAATAACAATGTTTTCTCCGAGCTGCAACAATCGGGTTCTCAACTTCAGTTCTCTGCGAATCAGAAAACTTAATGTTCGGCTAAAGTATTCTGTGTGTCCGGAATCCGGTTAGATCTCGGTCTCCATACAGTTGATGTCCATGCTTACTGCGTGCTGGTATTTGCGCGTGTGTCCATCATTTGTGGGGAGTACTTTTCTTTCGGGTGTAGTACGAAGCCAACCTTCCCCGCGACACTCTGCAAATCGTTGGTCGCCTTTCCCCGTGCTCGAGAGAAGTCGCAAGAAGTAGTATGTCATCGACATATCTCAAATTTGTCGGCCGATGCATTTTCGACTTCGTCAGCACGGCTGTCTTGACTAGATCGATGGCAGATCGGCCAGATGCTGATTTGATCGGCTGTCTTCACTTTATCGATGGCAGATTCAGATGCGCTGTTGGTTAGGAGGGAACTCAGCGGGTCGCCCTGCTCTGTCCCACGCTGTATCTGGAATTCTTTGCTGGCGCGATCGGTCTTCACGGTGGCTGTCTGGCCCTGGTACATGTCTCGAACAACTCGGATGTATCCTTCCTCAACACCTTTCTGAAACTCAACCGCGACAGCCCGAATAGGTACTTGGTATTTGCCCGCTGCTTCTTTCAATATTGAAGCGGTATAAAAATCATCAGTGGTGGACCGAAGTGGGCGAAGGCCTGCCTGAACATTGCTTTGTCTCTTGTCAAGAAGCCGCGCCAATCTGTTGTAGAAAATCGAGCAAGCCATGTGCGCAGTAAAGGTACAACGGTGATGGGCGCCTGTATTTGTGCGGCTATATGTTGTTCTCACTTTTGGGTATGCCTTTGACCACGGTCCGTTTCGATTGTGCCGGCGCTGAAGCTTTCAAGCTAGTGGTATCGTCGTACATCAAGAATGATCTCCCTGACCGCCGAACCTCCAGAATATACTGTCTCAACCACGATGCCTTTGCTATCTGCTGCTTTGCCCTTCTTCATCTGCTCCAATGCCGCCTGTAGCTCTTGCATCGTGAAAGGTGGACTTGTTGTCGTCGCTGTGGAAGCCTTGCCATTATCGGGGATCTTGCTCCCAGAGTTGAAATTTAGATCATAATGCCAATTTCTGCAAACATGTCGGCGATCTCTAATTCTACCCCGCACAGTCTCCCTACTCTCACATACCACACCTGGAATGACATGTCTTGACTTATGCGATTTGATGCTGGGGATTTCTCCAAGTTGCGAAACTCAGACAACAATGTCGTTGACTTCCAATCGACGCTTCTCTCTCATGTGCCGGGTCTTGTTTCCGATCTGTTCGTTCAGAGCTCGTTATGCTTCAGGCTCGTCTGCGTTGGTCTCGCGTCTCTTCATTAATGCAACTTCCAATTCAATGTCATCGTGTTGAAGTTTACTCGGTCGCCGAGCGCTGGAACCAACGACCACAGTAGATTGCAACATTTTTTAATTGCTCACAACTTGGATGGTTGCCGCCTTCCGTGCAACGCAAAAGGTCAGGAGCTTGTTCTTCGATGCTGGATTGCTATTTGTCGACATTCCGTGAAGGCCAACGCACTGGCTTCGCAACGATGTTGTTTTTTCTTGCTTGTACTCATGTTGCGCGTCTCCTCCCGCAGGGCAGCGATCCGCAAACGTACCGTGGTGTGGTCGGACACGAGATCCGCAACCGCCGTCGCTCCTACGTCTTGGATAGTTTCCAGAACCGACGATTCACCAGAAGGTAATCGATCTGCTTGTTCACACTGTCAGGCCCATGGTACGTGCAACGATTTTGGTCTTTTTGGGAATATGTATTGATAATTTTGACTTGGCTGACTGCCGTCCACTATCGAAGCCACTGCCCCCTTGCATTCGCCAAGCCATATCCAAACGGGCACTTGATGTTAGAATTGTCATCGATGGTCTGACCCACATGAGCGTTGCAGTCCGCTCCAGTGACACAACATACATGTTTCGCCGCTCCGCCTCGTGATGTATCTCTGTCAAGGTGTCATACACGAGCTGAACATGATGAGCCGCATAACCACTGTGAGAGAAATACGCCGTAACCAATCTTAGTCGGAATCCTGGGCGGTATACGTCAACATACGCAACCCGTTCCGAGATGACCTCAAAATAAGAAAAATTGGATCGAACTGGCCGGAATCGATGTCGAATCGAATCGATCGGATCAGCACGGACCATGCAAGGGAGAGCTGACCCGAGGGTGGTGGAGAGGATTGGTTTGATTCGGTCTCGGGCAACTTCGCATGATTCTCGATCGTCCTTGATCATCGTTCTCATCGATACTCGACCCTCGATCCTCGACGTTGCATCCTCTCCGATCCTCGATCCTGGATCCCCTTCCTCTGCGATCCTCCTCCTCTTCCTCGATTGTCATCGATCGTCTACGATCCTACATCCTATTCCTCCACGATCCTGCACCCTCCTCCTCTACGATCCTCTTCAAGCGATCCTCTACGATCCATCCATTCTCATAGATCCTCTACGGCCCTGGCCGGTCAGCGAGGCGCAGCCCCAGTCGCGGAGCGAGGCCCCCGCCGACGCGTTGCATGACGCCTCCTCCCCCTTGGCAGAGGGCCGCGTGGGGCTACAAGGGTGGAAGAGATAACCCCGAGGGCACAGGCGGGGTACAGTCACCTGGAGGGTGGGATTCGTGCTTGGATCACTTTCCCTCCCTACTCTTCCCCCTACCCCCTCCTCCCCCTCCTCTCTCCCTCCTCCCCCCTCTCGCCCCCCTTGGCCTCCATCCCCTTGTCCCCCTCCTGGGCCTCCTCCCCTCCGCCTTATCCCTCTCCTCCCCCTCCACCCCCGCCTCCCCCTCCACCACCGTCTCCTTTTCCCTTTCTCTCCTCCCTCCTCCTCCTCCTCCTCCTTCTCCTACTCCCCCTCCTCCCCCTCCTCCACCACTTCTTCCAATCCCTTCTGCTAAAATGTACTCGAACTCCCCCCCAAGAATTATCTAGATCCTGTTGAACATCCCATCCTGCCGCCCCCACCAGAACAACCCACAAGACCCCTCATAACCCTCCGACTCGGGGGTGGACAAACCCCCCTTTAGCGAAACGCCCTTGTTTGAAAACAACTCGGGGCCCGGGCGCGGGCCCGCACAACAAGCGGCCGCAGCATCCTCTCGAATGTCGAGGGACGGCAATTCGCTCATCGACTTTGTATGGTGAATGGTTCGATCATCTTCCGACCGATTGCCTTCTGAAATGCCTCCGAGACGCCTCCGATAACCCTCACAGGGCTCCTCCTCCTCCTCCTCCTCCGCCATCCCTTTTCCTTATAAACAACTCCTCTCTGTCGCATCCCCAGACGTGTTGGTATGGCGTGCTGGGCGTGTCGACTGAGATTTCGCCACCACTTATGATGCCGAAGCATAAACTCAAAACAAGTACACGGATGGAGGTCGGGTAGTCTTCAAAACATTACCATCGCCTCAACGCCGCACATATTTTCGGCTTAAACATGTGCAGCAGTTGCAAGGGTGGTGGGCGGGTCTTGTTCCAAATGTGGTTCTCGCCTTTGCGCCGCGCGCATTCGTAACGAAAGTAACAGCAACTTCAAGGATGGGTGGCAGGACCTTTTCAAACTGTGGCTCTCGCCCTGGCTCTGTGTAAGATTTTGCAGCGGCTTCACGGAGGGAGGGCGGGTCGTTTTCAAACTGTGCTCCCAGACTTCGCGCCTCACATTTTCGCCTTGCAAGTTTGCAAAGGTTGGCTCTGGCCTTAACGCCGCGCGCAGTCGTTCGAAACGTCAGGAGCAGTTTCGAAGGTTCGAATGGTTGAAGCCACAGGGATGGTGTTCTGGAACGGTTTAGGGCTCACAGGGCGTAGAAGTATGGTTGATTCGTGATGCGGTTCCCAACAATGGTGTTCTCGTGCGGTTTAGAGGTGCCAGGCCGCAACAGTCACGTCGATCCGGGGCGTTGACATCCGAAGAACTTTGTTTTGGCAAAGTTGGGGATTCTCAAACGGTTGCGCTCCAATGGGGCAATTACCAGAATGAAGATACACTTTTGCAGGGGAACTTGGAGGGAGGGTTGATAACACCGTTGACGCGTCTTGGGTTTACACTGGTCCTCCTCCTCCTCCTCCTCCTCTTCGAGCGCGCGCGCGCCCGAGCTCCAGAAGTCTCCGAAAGTCTCGAGGTTCCCCGGATGCCCCTGTAGCCCTCCCTGGAGGCCCGCGAAGTGCCGAGAACGTTTCGAAGGCATCGGGCCGCAGCCTGTCGTCGACGCCGCGCGCGCGCACGGCCGCCGCCGCCGCCACCGCCGCCGCCGCCACCGCTGCCACCACCGCTGCCACCACCACCACCACCACCACCACCACCACCACCACCACCACCACCACCACCACCACCACCACCACCACCACCACCACCGTCGTCGTCGTCGTCGTCGTCGTCGTCGTCGTCGTCGTCGTCGTCGTCGTCGTCGTCGTCGTCGTCGTCGTCGTCGTCGTGCCGTCGTCGTGCCGTCGTCGTCGTTGTCGTCGTCGTCGTCGTCGTCGTGCCTTCGTCGTCGTCGTCGTCGTCGTCGTCGTCGTCGTCGTCGTCGTCGTCACCGCGAGCGCGCGCGTGGCGCACGGGGGCCGCGTCGGGCTCGGGGCAAGGGGGCCTCAGTGCTGCGTCACACTGCTCCTGGCCGCAGCGGCGGCGCTGTCGTCGCAGTCGCCGCCGCCGACGTCACCGCACTCGCCGCCGTCGCCGCCGCAGCAGCCGTCGCCGCTGGCCGCTGGCCGCTGGCCGCTGGCCGCCACCGCCGTCGCCGCCAGCCGTCGCCGCCGCCGCCGCCGTCGTCGACGTCGTCGTCGTCGTCGTCGTCGCCGTCGTCGTCGTCGTCGTCGTCGTCGTCGTCGTCGCCGTCGTCGTCGTCGTCGTCGTCGTCGTCGTGGTCGTTCTGCGGCGCCGTTGGAGGCGTTTGGATGCTTTAGTGCGTGTATGTTTTTTGCTGTTTCGCCTCAGGGGGGAATCGGGACGGGCAAGTGGATCGGCGACCTCGGCTCCCGGATGCCTTCCTCGGACTGCAGGGCGAACAACTGGCCCACAGGAGGCGGTCTGCTGCACGTATGGGTGACCCCGGACACGTGTGACCTCTGACTCGCCGCATGTGAACGTGCTGCATGCGATGCGCCAGTGGCGGCCTGCGTGTCTGGGTTGCCCTCCCCTCCATCGGCGGCGAGCGGGGGGGAGGTGAGCAGGAGGAGGCCGTCTCAGAAGGCGGTGGGACTTCTCAGAAGCCCTCGCGCCTTCCGAGAAACTTCCTGTGTCTTCGGGGAAAACTTGAAACACTTCTCAAAGGCCGGAGGACTTCCGTTCCGAGAAGGTCCGCCCCTTCTCCCTTCCCCCCCTCGCTCGCCGCCGACTCCAGACCCACGAGAACCACGTACCAAAGGTCCCTCTGGCGCAGGCGCTGTTTCGCCCTAAGGTGTAGCCAAAGGCTGCGGGGATTGCGCATCAAGATCCCGCCCCCAAGCATGGATGGTGTTGGTGTCGGACACATACCAATATCGTGTTCTATCTCGATCGGTCTCAAGTATCCAACAACGAAGATCGTGCAATGTTTGGCTGATGTAATCCGCCGATGGCTTCCAACATCAAGCGGCCATGCTGGCGTCGCCGTCACGTTGACGCGGCACGAACCTGCCGTACTGTTCTTCGTACGCTGACTCTCTACAATCCGGCTGCACAAAGAACATATCTTCCGCTATTCCCAGGCCTGCTCACGGGGCGATGGGGAGAGGTGGGGCGGAGGGCCGAGGAGGAGAATGCTGGGAGGGAGGAAGGGGGGGAGCACGAGGATGAGGGTGGAGGACGACGAAGTAGGCGGAGGGACGGAAGGAGAGAGGGTGTCTGGGGCGGGCAGCGAAAGAGGGGCGAGTGAGTCAGGGGATCAGGGGATGTTGGCCTCTTTTCCTGCTACTCCTCCTGCTCCGTCCTCCTCCTTTTCCTTTTCCTCCTCTTCCTTCTTCTCCTATTGCTGCTGCTGCTGCTCCTCCTCCTCCTCCTTCTCCTCCACAACCTTCTGCTTCTCCTTCTCCTCACTCCTCACTCCTCCCCCTCCTCCTCCTGCTTTGTCCATATCCTTTCTCGTCATCGTCGTCCACCTCCCCCTCCCCTCCCTTCGAATCCAACCCCCCGCTCCTCCTCCTCCTCCTCCTCCTGCTCCTCCTCCTCCTCCTCCTCCTCCTGCTCCTCCTCCTCCTGCATCCCCATCTTTCCTTTCCTCCTCCTCATCCTCCCCACCGTCGCCGTCGCCGCCTCCGCCTTCGCCGCGCGCTGCCGCCGCCGCCACCGCCGCTGCCACCTCTGTCGCGCACCGTCGTCGTCGCCGCCACTGCCGGCGTCGGGGCGGGCCGGGCGCGGTCCTCCGGGGGCAGTCTGGGCAGCAGCCTGTCCGGCACCAAACTGGCGTCGTAGCGGGTGCTCACGACCTGCGGGAACGCCCAGCCCGCAGGCGACGGCGCGGGCGCCGACGGCGGCGGCGGCGGCTGCGAGGATGACGAGGGTAAAGGGGGCGAGGCTGGCGTGAAACCAGCGGGTCCTGAGGAAAAGGGGTCCTGGAAACCGGGGGGCCTTCCCCAGGACTGGTTCTCCATCCTGAGTGGTTGCTTGAGGGTCCTGGGGCCCTGGCAAGGCCCGGGGAGCGAAAAACCTGCCGAAGAAATTCCAGGACCTGTTCCCCTGACCTTTCGAACCCTCCAACTCAAGATTGCCCCAAGATCCCACCAGAGGCCGCCCAGACGCCCCGAAGATGCCCCCACGATAGCTCCAACAGGCCCCAATATAGCCCTCCAAGAGGCACCCGAGAAGCATCCCAAGAGACACCCAAACGCATCCAACAATTACCAAGTCCCTGCTAACGGGGTGTTAATGAACGGGGTGGTAGCTAAGGCGCCTCTGCGATTGAGGACAGGGTGACAGGGCATCGCCGATGCATCATCAGAACTCTGGATTGGGGGGATTACCTCGCATTTGTGCGGAAAAGCAATTTTCCAAAGGCGCACTTGAAGACGCACCCTCAGCTACCACCCCGATTACAAACACCCCGTTTGCAGGGGCTTGGAATTAGGCCTCCGACCCACAACCCAAGCATGGTGGCGGCTCCCTTGTGGGGCTACCAGGCTGCGAGGCTCGGGTTCCAGCAGCAGGTACCAATCCTGAGCTCCTCGGTCCCAATCACAGTTCCATTGCAGCTTTCAGTTTCAAGCCTCCAATCTTATAGCTATACTTCCTGCTTCCTACTGTCAACTGGTCCGCGCGAAGGAATAAGCCGAAAACCACTCTGGTTACCAGGGGGGCCTAAGATACGTAAAAATACATGAGGTTCGCAAAGCCACCATCCCCGGTATGTTTGCGACGATCCCTCGTACGTTATGCAAGATCCGCGCCCCCGAGGCCACGATCCTTTTTGTAAGTTGCGCAAGATTCGCGCCTCCGAGGCCACGATCCCCTGTAACTTAGGCCAGGTCCGCGCCCCTGGGGCCACGATCCCTCCCAAATTACGCCAACCTCGCACGCCCCCGAAGCCACGACCCCAAAACAATGGCGCAACTTTCGCGCCCCCGAGGCCACGATCCATCGCACATTACGCCAGATTCGGGCACCCAGGGCAACGAGCCCTCGTAAATTATGCGCGATTCGCGCCCCCGAGGCCATAACCCATTGCAAATTACGCCGCATTCGCGTCCCCGAGGCCACGATTCCGACTAAATTGCGCGCCAGATTCGCGTCCCTGATGCCACGACCTCTTGAAAAATTACGCCAGATTCGCGACCCCGATGCAACGATTTCCCTTCAATGACGTCCCGATTGCCAGCCGACTTTGCAGGAGGTGCCAGTATAGCTTCAAGTTGACGCCCACGCCTGACAACACAGCTCTGGCACATGCCTTTCTGGTAGACTGGGGGGCGATGGCAGAGGATGAAGCCCTTACGGATACACACGCACGCAGACGCACCCATGATGCATGTATGTATGTACGTATGTGTGTGTATATATGTACACACTAGAACCACGCGCGCGCTACGCGCGCTTACGTTCTAGTCACAGCTAGGCCATGGCTCTCGTTGTCACTCGTGTCTTGGACGGCACTGCGAATCCCCCTGGGGCTTGGTGGATGAGCCCGATGATGATTCCAAGAGGTACTATGGATATCGAAAACTCAAACACTTGCTCGAACAGCAATCCTTAACAATTCCACATACCTATACGACCACCCTGCGGGTGATAAGGAGGTTGGAGGGGGGCAGCAATGCGACATATCGACGTGCATGTCGATTTGCTTTTCAATCTGCATCTCGATTTGCATGTCGACTTGCATTGGAAAACTCGCCGCAGACGCCGATCTTTTAAATACGCAACCCACGGCGCCTTACGATTTGCATTTGGATTTGCATGTCGATTTGCAATTCGATGTGCTTTTTGGTTTGCATGTCGGTTTGTATGTAGACTTGCATTGGATAACTCGCCGCAACCACGGCGGGACACCAACGGGACACGAGCGGGACACCGCGGGGCACCGTTTGCCGGGTGACTTTTGGTCCGGCCGCGGGCCGGCCACAGTAGGATTTCGGGACACCAGCGGGACACCGCGGGCCACCAGCCGCCGGAGGAGAATCATTTGGTCCAGCCGCGGCCCAGCCACAGGAGGATTTCGGGACACCAGCGGGACACCAGCGGGACACCGCGGGCCACCGGCCGCCGGAGGAGAATCATTTGGTTCGGCCGCGGCCCAGCCACAGGAGGATTTCCTCTCGCCCGCCCACGCAGCTTCGCCTCGCCCGCACGCACGCACGCACGGCACGCACGAGACGAACCCGAAACCGAAATCGATTTCCCGGTAGGGGAGGTCTCCGTTTCAAGTCGGACTCACCCCCCAACCTCCGATAATCAACCAGTAATCAACAAGTACTAATAACACTGGTGGTGAGAAGCCATCTCCTATGCAAAATACTGAAGATGTTAGTGGTCTTGCAAGGCAAGTTCATACCATCTGTAGTGACACTTGTAGATTCGCAGAGAATGCTTATTCCATCAAGACTCGGGGAGACTGTTATGCCAACGCTTCTATTGAAGATATCCGCCACGTTTCCTTTTGGGCACGGAGTGAGCGTGTCCGCAGGTCCTTTGTCCAATCCCCTCAGCCTCAGTCCTCAATCCTGATGGGTCTTTTGGGGGCGAGGACCTCAAATTCTATTCTCGAATCTTCTTGGGTTTGGCGCGTGCCCCTGGGGTTCCTGGCGCTTTGTCGCATGAATCACACCAGCCCTCTGGACGTCAGTGGTCTAGAGCGCTTCCTCTTCCAACACACTTCTTCCCCTTCGGGGAAGGGTTACCCCCTCCCCCAGGCGACTGGCAGCCAACCAGGAACCATGAGGACCCCATGCTCCCCTTCACCCACACCGTCCCGATCAATCATCCTGGCGAAGGAACCAACCTTATGCAGTTGTGGGTACCGCAATTGAATATCTTTTTCGGAGAAGCTCCATATGGGGCCACGAAGCGCTGCACTGGGTGGAGGGGAACGCATGCGGGCGGTAGCACTGGGGCCGTCGGTGGAGCTCCCTATGGGGCCACGAAGCGCTGTACTGGGTGGGTGAATATGCCAAATTGGGTGCGTGGGACGCACGCGGGCGGTCCCACTGGGGGCTTCGATGGAACTCTCTATGGGGCTACGAAACGCTGCACTGGGTGGGAGGGACGCATGCAGGCGGTAGCACTGGGGCGTCGGTGGAGCTCCCTATGGGGCCCCGAAGCGCTGCACTGGGGTGGGGAAAAATGCCAAATTGGGGCTTCTGCGGCGCATGCGGACGGTGGCACTGGGGCCGTCTGTGGAGCTCCCTGTGAGGCACGAAACGCTGTACTGGGTGGGTGAAAATGCCACATTTGATGTTTCGGGACGCATGCGGACGGTGGCACTGGGGCATTCGGTGGAGCTCCCTATTGGGCCACGAAGCGCTGCACTGGGTGGGGGGGGAAGCATGCGGGCGGTGGTACTGGGGGCGGTCGGTGGAGCTCCCTATGATCCACGAAGCGCTGTACTGGGTGGGTGAAAATGCTACATTGGATGTTTCGGGACGCATGCGGACGGTGGCACTGGGGCCTTCGGTGGAGCTCCCTATTGGGCCACAAAGCGCTGCACTGGGTGGGGGGGAAACGCATGCGGGCGGTATTACTGGGGGCGGTCGGTGGAGCTCCCTATGATCCACGAACCGCTGCACTGGGTGGGTGTAAATGCCAAAATGCGTGTGTGTTGTGTGTGTGTTGTGTGTGTGTGTGTGTGTGTGTGTTGTGTGTGTTGTGTGTGTGTTGTGTGTGTGTGTGTGTGTGTGTGTGTGTGTGCGTGCGTGTGTGTGTGTGTGTGTGTGGGTGTGCGTGTGCGTGTGCGTGTGCGTGTGCGCGCGTGTGTGTGTGTGTGTGTGTGTGTGCGTGCGTGCGTGCGTGCGTGCGTGCGTGTGTGTGTGTGGTGTGTGTGTGTGGTGTGTGTGTGTGGTGTGTGCGTGCGTGCGTGCGTGCGTGCGTGCGTGCGTGCGTGCGTGCGTGCGCGTGTGTGTGTGTGTGTGTGTGTGTGTGTGTGTGTGTGTGTATGTGGGACGCGTGCGGGCGGTCCCACTGGGGGCTTCGGTGAAGCTCCGTATGGGGCTACGAAACGCTGCGCTGGGGGTGGGGGGGACGCATGCAGGCGGTAGCACTGGGGCGTCGGTGGAGCTCCCTATGGGGCCCCGAAGCGCTGCACCGGGTGGGGGAAAATGCCAAATTGGGGCTTCTGCGGCGCATGCGGACGGTGGCACTGGGGCCGTCGGTGGAGCTCCCTGTGAGGCACGAAACGCTGTACTGGGTGGGTGAAAATGCCACATTGGCGCTTTCTGGGACGCATGCGGACGATGGCACTGGGGACGTCGGTGGAGCTCCCTATGGGGTCACGAAGCGCTGTACTGGGTTGGTGAGACGCAGGGAGGAGGGAGGGGGAGGAGGGGGAGGAAGGAAGGAAGGAGGAGGAACGGCAGGACCATCTCTTCAAAACGAGGACCCAACACGACAGGATGGTTGGGCCGGTTGGGAACCATAGAAAGTACACTTCGGGGCAAAGTCTTGAGTCATGGTCGTGAGGCCCGCGGGTTCTTTTTGGCAGGGACGGCGGGGGGTCAGAATATGGCCTGCTGTGCGCAGGGCTACCATCCTCCGCAACAAAAACAATACAAAATGTACCTCGCGACGCATTCTGGATCATGCGCGGCCACCCTGCGATCACTGTCGAGTGGCTCTTGACAGGGACGGCGGAGGTGGTTGCGTATGGCCTTCTGTGCGCAGGCCCAGAAGACACAATGATGGGCATTGGTTTTCGACAAGGATGGTGGGGGCCGACATGTTTCCCGATGTGCTGTCACGTGCGCAGGCGCACCTGAGACACTCTGCAGGTGCCCCGAACGTG